GGTGCTGTTAGTGTACTGTGTGTGTGTGGGTGCTGTTAGTGTACTGTGTGTGTGTGTGGGTGCTGTGTTTGTGTGCTGTATGTGTGTGGGTGCTGTGTGTGTGATGTATGTGTGTCTGCTCTATGATTGGGTGATTTGTGGGGGTGGAGGTGGGGGCAGATTAGTTGATAACTATTCACCCCTCCCTTCTTACCTTATGTAGGGAGGGGGGACCATTCTGCTGCCTTCCCTGGTGGTCCAGTGGAGGTGGGGGCAGATTACTTAATATCCACCCTCCCTTCTTACCTTATGTAGGGAGGGGGTACCTGCTGCTGCCTTCCTTGGTGGTCCAGTGGTGAGTGAACTCTAGCCTGCGGGGTTAGAGTTCACTCTCACGAGATCTGAGCGTTGCCGCGGCAACGCTCAGATCTCGTGAGAGGAACCCGGCGGAGCTGCTGGCAAGAGCTCCCCGGATCCTCTCCTGCCTCCCTCACTGCCTGTGGGTCGGTGAGGGGAGGCTCGGATAGCGCCGGCTCTGCATGAGCCGACAGGGGAGATCCTGAGATCTCCCCTACCGGTCTCACTCCAGAGGCGTGCTGCGGGAATTAGGATGTGCCCAGGCACACCCCGTGCGCACGCCTATGCAAAAATCCATAGTACGATTTGTATAGGCAAGAAAAAGAGTTAGAGTGGCTACTAGAATCCTTCAGAAACCAATGAGATGTGGAGGCCTTGGGCTTCCGGATGTAAAATTATATTATAAGATGGCTTAATTAACATCAGTGGTAACTGCACATGTCGTAGACGCACCACGACAATGGGTAGCTATAGAGTTCCCCTGGTCATATAAAGAGGACTTAAAATGCTTATTCTGGTTACCAAGAAATTCTCACCCGCGCCCACCAACAATGCTTGACACAACCAAGCTGCTACTTCATACTTGGGATTAACACGAACTGGTTTATGTTGGGGTGTGCCAATATCTTTGGGCACACCTCTTTACAGTATACATCTACAAAACCCAACATTTGACTACTCTATGTGAATACCCAAGGGATGCACATATGTCCACCACATGTATCACAACACAGTAGTGAAACAATTTCCGGATCTCTTCGCCCCATACCAACTATCGCCTTGAGTTCTATTTTCATATCTTCAACTTAAATCTCTTCTTACAACTCCTGCCCAACAAATCAAGAGACCTGCTATGACTACTTTTGAAACTATGAGTTTGGCAAGACCCAAGCCTAGGAAAATTATGTCTGCTATATATCAGCTTCTTTTAGCTAACCGTTAGTGCACTACAGAACACTTTATGACTTCCTGGCAAAAGGGCATGGGCAAGATATTATCTCATGATATGTTTCAGTGTATTCGTATATTCATATTTTCAGTGTACTTTCTGTAATAGTGCTACCATGTAGAACAGTCAACCTTATGTATTGTGCAACCACATGTAAAAACTCAATAAAAATTGTCACAAAAAGAACAGCAACGTATCTTTTATTATTACACAGAAAAAAAGACAGAGACCAAAGGTGACAAAAAAAAAACAAAAAAATATTGAAATCTCATAAAGCATAACTATAGCAGCACATTTATGCTTTATGTGGCTTTGTTTTATAGTACTTGCTAATAAATGTTATTTTAACTTTATTATTTGTGTTCCTGATATTTTCATGCTGTTACCATCCAGCTGTCCTTGGAACCTACACTTACCTGACGCAAGGTGTAACTAAAAATGTTTGTTTGATGCCTCCACAGTTTAGAGACAATTTATAGGCTCAAAGCTAGGAGTAGACAACCTTTGGCACTCCAGATGTTGTGGACTACATACCCCATAATGCTCTTGCACCCATAATGCTGGCAAAGCACCATAGGAGGTGTAGTCCAAAACATCTGGAGTACCGAAGGTTGCTTATGCCTGCTTTAGAGACTGTGAGTTTTTCCAACACCCTCTCCTTGATTCTTCTCTGTATAAATATACTGTACCATGATATTTATTTTTTATGCCATATAGGTTTTTACACTACAGGAGGCATTACCATTGTGTGCGCTTTGTCACATTTTTTATGTGGTTTATAACCAAGGCTTAGCCTCAAGGGATGTGCTAGCAACTAACTAACTGAAGGATGAGAAAAATTAGTATGGACTTACCAGTATGCTGCTAGCGATGACCAACTGAAAAATGCAAAAACCATTTCCACACTACCCGAAAAGTGGAATGTCCACTACATACCAGTAGCATAGGAAAGGAGAATAAAATGAAAATCGTGAAATAAATATTATGTGAATAGGGGACTATCATCTAAATCAAAACTTTACTCCAATAGAGGTCTACTTATAGTCTGACAACCAAATCAGAATATTCAATTAACTCAACAAAGAGAGGGTCGGCCAAGGCAGCAAGGAAGCAGTAATCTTCCTACAGCTCCTCTCTGCTCCCTCACGCTGTTTAGTGATGCCGACAGACGGAATTTGACGTCATATGACAAGTGTGTGTCTCCATCTGTCAGTGAGAGTGTGTTTGTATCGGTCTCTGAGTGTGTGTCTGTAAGTGTGTGTGTCTGTATCTGTCAGTGAATGTGTGTGCTTGTATCTGTCAGTGAGTGAATGTGTTTTTATCTGTCAGAATGCATGTCTGTGAGTGGGCATCTTTGTGTCTGTCAGAGCGAGTATGTGTGTCAGTGAGAGTGTGTGTTTGTGTCTGAGAGTGTGTGTGTTTGTAAGTTTGTGTGTCTGTATCTGTCCCAGAGTGCGTGTCAGTGAGTGTGCATCTTCGTGTCTGTAAGAGAGAGTATGTGTGTCAGTGAGAGTGTGTGCATGTTTGTGTGTGTGTGTGTGTTTGTTTGTATCTGTCAGTGAGTGTGTGTCTATGAGAGTGTGTGTTTGTGTCAGATAGAGTAAGCGTGGGTGTCTGTTAGTGAGCGGCACGCCCTGGACGCGCATATTTCGCCACAAGGCTCATCAGCAGGGTGACCAGATTTTGAATATAACACATTAGCGATACAAAAATAGCTCAAAAAAACAAACAAAAACACAACAACAGAGAAATACTTATGCATTAGAAGTCTTTAACCTATTCCTGACCAGAAGTGGCTGTTACAACTCATCCCCTTCCTGGTACTCAAATGAGTGTCTTTTCATTTACATTTTGTAGGAGCGTGATCAGAGTGCACACATACCATAGACCAGTGCCATCTTAACAGCATAATAGGCCCTGGGGGAAAAGCTTATTTTCTTTGGTATCCACACAGACTGCTGAGTACACAAACACAGACTGCTAAAAACACACACACACACACAGGCTGCTGAATACACACACCAACTACTGAATACACACACACACACACACACACACAGAGACAGACTGCTGAATACACACACAGGCTGCTGAATACACACACCAACTACTGAATACACACACACAGAGACAGGCTGCTGAATACACACACAGGCTGCTGAATACACACACCAACTACTGAATACACACACACAGAGACAGGCTGCTGAATAAATACAGATGAACTGCAGTGACTGGTGCAGTGTGTGTGTGGGGTGAATGAGTGTGTGGAGGGTGCAGTGTGTGTGTGTGTGTGTGGAGGGGGTGTTGTGTGCAGAGGATGCTGTGTGTGCAGGGGGTGCTGCCTGTGTGTATGTGTGGACTGGGTGAGTGTGGAGGGGGTGGTGCATGTGTGGTGGGGTGTAGTGTGTGTTTGTAGGGGGTGTAGTGTCTGTAAAGGTTCAGTTTGTGTGTGTGTGTGTTTGTGCGGGGGTGCTGTGTGTGGGGGAGGGGCTGTAGTGCGAGTAGGGGTTCAGTGTGTGTGGGGGGGATAATGGAGCAAATGTATATTTTTCAAAAAAAGCTATAACACTTTATAACCCTCACCTTTGGCCAGGGAGGAGGGGGAGACTTTTGAATCCCAGGTGGTCCAGTGGTGGTCCGTACAGTTCAGCCTGCAGCTCCTCTGGCTGCAGGCTGACTACTCTCTCCTTCCGCAAGTACAGTGCAGTGTCGGAGCGTTGCCATAGTAACGTGCGTCAACGCTCCAACCTGCTTGTTTGGCGGAGGAGCGTTTTGCCTCCAGGCCCTAGCTCCCTGCCTCCCCCTGCAGTGGAAAACTGCCTTGGGGCCAGTGAGAGAGATCTGTGATCTCCCCACCAGCCTAGAAAAGCAAATAGCAGAGCCTGCTCTGTATGAAGCCAGCAGGGGAAAGGATCTCCCCTGCCGGCTTCGGCACATGAGGAAAGGAGGCGGCTCTGCAGAAACCAGGACATTTATGTGGCCCAAGAACAAACGTGCGAAAACCATGACGATCCCAGTAAAACTGGGACCTCTGGTCATCCTGCTCATCAGAGGCCATCTCATGTGGCCAGGGGTGGGGGCTGTTCTTGGTGTGAGTGAGCGTGTGGTCAGTGACAGGGCTCTTCTGAGAAATAGTAGATGACTTACTAATAACAATTTATAAACTAAAATGTAATTTAAAAGAAGAACATTGTATCTTCTTTACACAGGCTGATTTCCAAACACATTTATTGTAGTTTAACCCCTTCAGGACCAAGGCTATTTTGAGAATTGACAGGTTTGTGACCAAGGCCTTTTTGGCACGTTTGCCATAGATTAATTCTACCACAATTTACTTCTATATATTTAAGTGTGAGCGGTTATACACTTAGACATACCAACAATATGGAGCTCACAGAAAAGAGGGGCCGACGGGTTTGGGACTAAAATAGGGACTGTCCCTCCTAAAATGGAGGGCACCAGTGAGCATTGTCCCTCTGCAATATCACTATTATCAGGGCACAGTGAGCATTGTCCCCCAGTTATATCACTATTATCAGGGCACAGTGAGCATGGTCCCCCAGTTATATCACTATTATCAGAGCACAGTGAGCATGGTCCCCCATTTATATCACTATTATCAGAGCACAGTGAGCATGTCCCCCAGTTATATCACTATTATCAGAGCACAGTGAGCATGGTTCCGCAGTTATATCACTATTATCAGAGCACAGTGAGCATTGTCCCCCAGTTATATCACTATTATCAGGGCACAGTGAGCATTGTCCCCCAGTTATATCACTATTATCAGAGCACAGTGAGCATGGTCCCCCAGTTATATCACTATTATCAGGGCACAGTGAGCATGGTCCCCCAGTTATATCACTATTATCAGAGCACAGTGAGCATGGTCCACCCAGTTATATCACTATTATCAGGGCACAGTGAGCATGGTCCCCCAGTTATATCACTATTATCAGGGCACAGTGAGCATGGTCCCCCAGTTATATCACTATTATCAGAGCACAGTGAGCATGGTCCACCCAGTTATATCACTATTATCAGGGCACAGTGAGCATGGTCCCCCAGTTATATCACTATTA